GCAGCTCTAAAGATTGTAGACCTCATGAATACAATATCTGCATGCCGGACCTTGTTGGGCTTTGAGTCAGAGGGGACGGCTTAGGCTAAACTTTTGCTTCAATGTTTGAAAGGAAACTACCCGCCAAACGAATTTATCTTTATCAAGTGCTGTCCATTTCAGTCAAGGGAAGGCGTAGCAACAGATCCACTCAACGTTATCACAAGAATCGAGATGAACCTGCGAGATCGGGATGAACAACAAATGGGCGAATCCATACAGTTTCCCGAGCAGCAAATCAACAATGCCGTTGAGACTGTTAATCCTGACGCGATCCGTCGGAAAAATCGGTCGCAAAGTATTCCATTTCATGAGAAATCTCGTGAAGACATTGACAATGACAGTATGATAAATAGGACGTGAACCACTTAATTTTCTTTCTAGTTGAGCCAGAGTCAAGTTGTTTCCACAGTCATGACTACTCCATCACGACTTAGCGCATAAGGTCCAACTTGCGCATGCACATTGCTGAAACATAGACAAAACCTGAGTTAGCAAGGTGTTGCATATCAGCTCCACTAATCTATTTCACGGGATACACAGCTGATCGCCGCTTTTATCGGAATTCTATTTTATTGTTATAATCTTGACTTCAAGACTGCCTCAAAGTATGTTTACTTGTACATTGCACTTGTTCTCAATTTTCATGTAATAATTGTCGAATGTGACAATAAACCATTCGTTCTTTATAGTTTCAAAATAATGGCATTCGTTGGGGGAACTTTGGGCAATACTACGAAGTAATCGATATTTTTGGTTATTCGGACCTTCACACAAGAATACACTGTTGGATAAGTAGTCACTATCAGGTAGCTCTCGCAAGGTCACTGGAAAAGGTTATCTCATCCGTACTGAGATAACCTTTTCCAGTGACTTTGCGAGAGCTACCTGTCCGCTATGCTTGAAAAAATCCGTGTTTGAGAAAATTCACATTTTGGCCTTAAACCTTCCCATACAATTTCGTTCTCTAGGCTTCTTGAAAACGAAGTCCCCTCTACATTCGCAAAATTATACGAAGTCCCCTTTGACTTTCAGGCCTGAAACATAGAATCGAAAAAAAAACGAAACGTCGATTAAAAAAGTAGCAATTTTT